ATACAAAAAAGAACCCCACACCAGCAGGCGAAGAAGACTTACAAATGTAGCCTTTAAGTAAAGAATCTTTAACATATTTCTCCATGATCCTACTCTCCTGTGGGGGTAGGCATATGCTACCCCTTTAGGGGGCATCGCTTCAGGTAGAAGATCTAAGATCTGTGAGGAGGCAGCGTATCGGTGTGACTTTTACTGAATGCTTCTCTAACCTCCCAGTACAGCACAGGAATTTCGGAAGTCTGGGGTGTAGGAATAGGCAAAGTAACGATGCCCATTCTCTTAGTAATAGGTTACATGCATCTCTCACTACAGTCTTTACCCCATTCCAGTATTTCCCCCTTAGCCCAGTCAATATGAGGGTTGTGTTTAACAATCCATGGAAATCCTAATATGATGGGACAAGAAGGGGGAGCAATTATCTGAAATGTGTAAAGCTCCTATAGTAATACTAATAGGCAATAAACTGCTGAGAGAGAGGTCTCCCATCAATAGCTTCAACGGGCAGGGGTGATAATTTCTCTCCTTGATAAGTATGGAGTGTCTGTTGACAAATTGCGTGTCGATAAAGTTTCCTGCAGCACATGAGTCCATCAGGGCTTTGCATGCAATACTTTTCTTGTTGCAATTGACAGTAATATCAAGGAGAAATCTACTTTGGGTAGTACCAGAGGACACATCCATCACACCTAAGACCCTTTAGGTTCTTCGGTGTGGAAGTTTTCCGGACGTATGGGACAAGCATCTCTCATATGTCGCTTCTTGCCACAGTATAAATAAAGGCCCTCCTTTCTCCTAAATTGTTTCTCTGCCTCTGACAGTCTTGTAACCGCCAATTGCATAGGTTCCGGCTTAGACTGTACAGGAAGGCCAGAGACAACAGGCCTGGAGAAGCAAGGCACCAGTGACATATTTAAGCGTCTGGTTCTTTTTCTAGTATTCTCCCTGGTTCTGATACGGTTGTTGATATGTATCCCATACGTGATATAGTCATTTAACCTCCCTGGTAGTTCTTTGGCAGCAATTTCATCAAGGATAGCTTCAGATAATCCTTCTGCAAAGGCAGTAAGGCAGTGATTGATCCGCTATTAGTCCAGTCTACCTCAGAATCTAGAGTGCGGAATTCAATAGCATAACCTGAGACAGACCGGTTTCCTAGTTTGATACGCATTAGGGCAGTAGCAGTGTTGGTGTCCCTATCCAAAGGTTCAAACGTTGGTTTAAATTAATTATGGGCAATAGACTTATTACTTTCCCATAATGGATTGGCCCATTCTAAGGATTTACCTTGCAGTTGGTTCATTAGGTATCCAATTTTGGCTCTATCCGTGGGAAAAGACCCAGGAGAGGCTTCAAAATGATACTCGATCTGATTCAAAAAACCCTGACATTTAAGGGACACTCCAGGCACCCAGACCACTTCTACCCATTGGAGTGGTCTGGATGCCAACTCCCACTACCCTTAACCCCTCAACTGTAAATATTGCAGTTTTCATAAACTGCAATATTTACCTTGCAGGGTTAACTCCTCCTCTAGTGGCTGTCTACCAGACGCTATGTGAGGACCTCCAGCGTCGCTGAAATCTCCATAGGAAAGCACTGAAAGCATTTTTAATGCTTTCCTATGGGGAGGTCTAATGCATGTGCGCGGCATTGTTGCGCATGCGCATTAGGTCTCCCCTGTCGCTGGCCGCGGATACGCAATAGGTCTCCCCCGCCAGATGACGTTCGCGGGGTGGAGCGTGGGCAGACCCTGAACCAGCACCGAGGGACAGGGGGAGGTTTTAACCCCTTCAGCAACATGGGATGGGGGCTGGGAGGGAGAGGGGACCTGCAGTGCCAGGAAAATAGTTTGTTTTCCTGGCACTGGAGAGTCCCTTTCATGAATATTACCTTCAAAATGTGGGGGTGAAGATAGGGTAATATTAGGTGCCCTATATTCAGTAGGGTGGGGATGTACCTGCCAACGGAATCGCAGGCTGTAAATGAGCTGTACGAATTAGTAGTGTATTAAAAGCTTGGGCGAACTGATCCATACAGTGCTCATTCTCCCCTAGCTTTCTCTCATAAGCTACTATGTGCTGACACACATTTGCAGGATCTATGGCCATGTCGTAATGTCAGGATTACAATTAATCCAACACGCAGTATTAGTATCACACTTAGGAATAAGGATAACATCTAACCGGACCTTAGAATGGCCGGACTTAACGTACCAGAGAATAGTTGAAATACTAGCCGAGGTCAGGAACACAGAACGAAACACAGTTGCAAGGAATAGCCAATAGTCAGGGATACCAGAATTCAGGGAAGTCAGAACGAAGCCAAAGTCCATAACCAAAGAAATAAGATCAACACACTCTCAGATAACCAGCAAAGGGAAAACATGACAGGGAAATGATTAGAAGAAATTAGAGAGTTTAAATATCCATCTTGTGAATCCGATTGGCCGTATCCGGCCATTGACACCAAAGCGTACGTGTGCATCCTCTGCGTGACATCAACGTCGCTACCATCATTAACAGACGTGGGGCTACAAAACAGTGTGGATCCGCAGCGGCAGGCATCCACTGGCATGTCGCAAAAGCTCAGTCTTATGGCATAGGACCACCGAGCATCACTTCTCCTATTCCTGGAAAGGTGATTTATGTTGTGCCTAGCATCTGGAGAGGATGTCAATGTTACAAGCCCACACTCTTTATTATAAAACAGATCGCAATACTCCCCTTCATGCAACTAGCTTTCATCCTCGGGCCTTACGAGAATCTCTACCATACTCTCAGGTCGTACAGGTGTTTTGGAACAATTCGGATCCGGGAAAAGCACAAATTCAAATTGGTACTATGTGGGATAAATTCAAACAAAGGGGGTATAAAGAGAACACATTACGAAAAGGCATTACAAAGCTGCCACAAGGATACTGGAGAGGTCCAAAAAGACGCTCATACTACATGAATGCTGTTCCCCACAACGAACACCACAGCATCTTTAGAATTTAGGACCTTTAGTAACAATAATTGGAGAGTCCTAGCTAATGATGTATCCCTACCGGTGGAATTCAGGAAACCGGTAATGTTGTGCCTCCAAAGAAACAAGAACTTGAGGGATCTACTGGATCACACATATCCGGTCCACTGCTACCAACACACAAGACTAATGATTGACCTTGGATGTTATCGCTGTTTGGGATGTGTGAGAGGGCATTTTTTGGCCTCAAGGGCATGTGCAAATGAATGGCTTTTTTTGTGCATGAATCTTGCTGATGTCTTTGTGGATGATCCTACTTATGTGGTGCATGTATTATAGGTTTGACAGATGGAGACTCTAGAGTTGTGAGGTGTCACAATATACTATATATTCCTGCAACTTACATCAGTATGACTTCTGTAGATAACACTCCATTAAAAAATTGCAGATATATCCCCGCATACTATGCTGTTTACAAGTTTTTTCCAACTTGTCTAAAGTGAAGTTCTACTATGCACTGATATCCTGTCATAGACGTTACGTGGAAATCCGTTTTCCCTTACTTCAAGAGTTGGCTATCCTTCCCACGGTTATATAAATACCTTGTACTCCTCCAGCAACAATCAAATATGGATGCCACTTGTGTTGACTTTCATAATTGAAGCCTTCATTAAAAGATGTAGAATGTCTGCAGAACTGCTCACACCAAAAGAGGAACCATCTTCCAGAACTTTCGTCATGTTAGTAGCTCCATTGGTAACCATAACCCCAATGAGCACATAGGTGCCTGCCTGCTTCCCTATCCAGTTTGCCACTATATGTTTGTTTGCCTGCAAGATGTTGTCCTAAAGCGGCACTGTCATGGCTGAATCCAATTGTTTTTTTTTTAACCCCCTCCCGACTCCACTACATCTAATTGCCCCCCTTTGCTGTGCTCCCCACCCCTATGTCCATCTTCACTCTATGGGAGTCAATATGATCCCCATATTAGCATAAGGGAGATTAAAATCTCCCAAATGCCCCTACTTGCTATGCCGTGTGTAGGGTCATATCTACTAAACAGTGAGCAGCCTGTTCCCTAAATGACAATGGGGGGAAGGCTATGGCCCTTCCCCCCTGGCCCCCACCCATGGCCGAAAATAGTGAGGGGGAGACAATAAAACTAAATACCTATAAATAAATACTAAGAAAATAAAAAAAATACTTACCATATGATGTCTTCTTTTTTCTAAAACCTTTCTTCAGCCCCAAAAAAGGCCAAAGAAAAATCCATAACACCTGTCAAAATACTAAAATAAACCTGAGCGCCCCCCAAAAAATGCAGAAAAAAAAAAATTTCCCATGTTTAGTTCATTGGCCCCCACTCGCTGTACACAAGTGGGAGTCTTAATTAACATTAAGCCCCCCATTAATAATTTTTTATAGGTGCTCCACCAAAGGGCACTTTATTAGAGGAGGGGGTCTTTTTTTTTTTTTTTGCAAATGTGAGCAGCCACTGGCTGGTGAGTAGACATGCCCCTACTCGCGATGTAGCGAGGAGGGGCAGACGGGAGATTTTAATCTCCCTTAATTACTAATACTATGTAATCTTTACTTAGTATTAGTAATGTTGACTGAAAGACCAATTAGGTTTTTCATTCAAATGAAATTCTGATCCAAACAAAAGACCAGAATTTTACCACATGACAGGAGGCTTCATATTTGCATATCTTTCTTTACTGAAAACTCCAGCAGCATAGAAACAGTAACAACCAATCAGAGAAAAGATATGGTGCCCATAAGAGGCCCTGTCTCTGACATCACTTTCTCTTTATTTGCTGCTCCAGCCTACAACAGGTCAGAGTATTATTACCTCTCTGATGTATTTATATATTTTTACTCTACCTTCACTTTGTAACTAAATATCTATCCATCTACTGCTCCTTGCTCCCTTCCCTGTCCCCCTGTCTCCCCATATTCAGTGTGTTACTACCACTTTATCTAATTTTGGTCGGGCGGTCCGTGGGCGTCACGGCTGTCTGTGCCGCGCTCGCTGTGTGGACCTGCCCTGCTGACACTCAGGGGACTGTGTGGGGACAGGTGGAGGGTGGCCGGGGCGGTTTTGCATTCTTCCGCCGTGTTTTTCTGCTTACTCGCGGCAGCGAGCGAGTAAGCCTGCTGCACGCGGCTGGCGGCCATCTTGGATCTCGCAGCTCGCGAGACCCACGACGGCCGCCTTCCCCGCTCACGCGGCGGTTCGGGAATCACCCGATCACCGCTCCCTGCAGCTGCATTAACCCCTTCAGGGGTCCCCCTCTCTAGGCACTTTCGTTCTTGGTTGAAATAAAACATTTTCTTCTCTGCTGTGAATGCCACATGGATTTAACTCTCCCTTAGTGCCTTACACTGGATGATTATGTTGAGCATGCAAACAATTTAAATGTATTATGGTTCAGTCCATACAATACCACTATTACTATACAAACAATTACTGTGACATATACAGAATCAACTATCTCACGGTACCCTTCCAAGGGCATATTGCGTTACTGTACCCTACACAGGGCATATTATATTACATTATTGTACCCTACAGAGGGTCATATTATATTACTGTACCCGACGGTGAAAATTTATGTGGGTGTCCTCTGGGTATTTTTTCATGGCACACCACCTGGGGTGACCCCCCAGATATGCATGCAAGGTCACTGACAGACCATTACCTTTGATGTGGGTGTCCTCTGGGTTACCACGGCACACCACCCGGGGTGAACCCCGATCATATGCATGGAGGCCTACGCCTCAACTTTACCACTGATTACTACAGACATATATGGATGTTTAAACACTGCCTGTCAGTTTTACATTAAAGCAACAGTACCATGCCGGATACGATTTGACGGCAGGATCACTAAGGAAACTGAGGGTATTACGGTGTACCCTTCACAGGGATACATATATGTATATTTACTGTGCCTAGTGGACATATAGAACGTGGGTGTCCTCTGGGTAATTTTTCATGGCACACCACCTGGGGTGACCCCCAGATATGCATGCAATGCTTGTAAGGTGCTAATAATTATAATATGGGTGTCCTCTGGGTTACCATGGCACACCACCTGGGATGAACCCAGCCGAATAGACATGGGTCCTGCGGCTGCAGACCTTATGGAGACAGGCCCCACGCGCCTATATAATAAGCCTGTATAGTTAAAAACCGTGCATACAGCTCTGGCGTACAATTGTGGTGAACCCGGCTAGCCAGACCAACACCACTACCAGTCAATCGTGCCTGCACCGCGGCTCTCAGTAGCCAGATTAAACTAATAGAGGTGACCCCTCTACACTTGGCACGAGTGTTCATACTCTCAGACAAACTAAAGCAGGCAATTCAAACCGTTTTACCTGAATGATCCCCAGTTCTACCAGGAGTCTTGCACCCCTACGTGCTGACCCTCACACACTACTCCCACTGTCTCCCATCAGGACAGGAACGAGTCATGATGGACACTCTCAACCTTCCCAAGACTTCTAGGAAATGATAAACGCCGCAGTAGCGGCCTCAGTGGAGAAGGTTCTATTATGAGCTCTGCCCCACACCGCTTGATGGAGACCTCAGGCCCTCAAGCCTTCAAGCCAAAACGGCAAGGGAAGGACTCCAGCCCCCCTGCCACTAAGGTCAAGGGCAAAACGCCCATCGAACAGACCAAATAGGTGGAACACCGGGAATCCAAACCCCGTCTGCCACAATCTTCCGACAAATAAGGCTATTACCCACCACGTACTTTGGACATGGTAGATGAGCGACACGAAGACAGCTCACCGTCTGAGGAAGTGGAACGGCAAGACCTACCCCACACTTCCTCGAAGTACATTAGGGAAACCTTACTCTGTGACGGCGGCTGAGGCAGAGATAGCAATAGTGGCACTAAACCAGAGTAGCCGAAGACGGAACGTTTCTGGACGAACACTATTGGCTGCGCAACCCTCTGGGGATGGAAGTATGCGCAAGCCTCCAGACCGAATACCCCAGACCACTGCTACCAGACAAAGTGGCAGTTGCGTCCGAGCTCAACAACACTGTGGTAGTCTTCATTGCATGCTCGGGACGAAACCCCGCAATGGTGGGGAGTATGGCCTGAGGTCGACACGCGATAAAGTACTTGATTTACCAGGCTTGATTGCAAGATACTCTATTTTTTGCGGATCTGGCACTCAACCAGGGTACACAACTCAACCCTACCACCTCCAGAGAATGGGCTCGATGCTCGATATGCCTCCTGGGCAATGCAAATGACGCACTATGCGCCGACAGATGCAAATCTGTACTGGTCCGCAACGACAACACACTATTGGACTTAGGAATGACAAGAATTCGGCCCAAAAGCACAAGGCCTACTATTCGGCGTAGTGTTCATTGTAGTACTCAAGAAACACGTGTATTAATTCACACACTAAATTAAACCCAGACCTCGCTAAAACAAGTCTTCCACACCCCTACGGGGAAAGGTGTTTTTTGGGAGGGCTGGTCGGTAACGGAACCGAGCCACCAGCCGCTTCTGGGCTACAGGGTCCAGATCGTATACACAGTCCTCATATTTCTCCCATCTACTACACAAAGGACCCCATCCGCTTCATCTACTAGTGAGTCAACCTACATAACTAACTGTTTCCAATTTTATGACCGGCAACCTGTCTCTATTTTACAGTTTTGGGAGACGACTACCAAAGTCACCTGGGTTCTCCAGACAGTACAAGACTATGTCATATAGTTTTTTATCACAGCCGTTCAGGTCGCCCCTTCACCTCCATTGCGCACGCTGGCGGAACATCTCGTGGACAAGGAAATCCACACCCTCTTCAAGAAGGGCGCAATTCAACATGCACCGGAGGGGAAGGCTTCCTCAGCAAAAAAAATTTCCTGGTCAAGAAGAAGCCAGGAGACTACATCAATGGAACTCCTACGTGGTATACAAATGCTTCAAGTTGGAGGAAATTCGTCTTCTACAAGACCTCCTAAGCGGTAACGACTGGTTTACACATCTGGACCTCAAGGACACACACTTGTCAGTACCCGTTGCCCGGGACTGCCGAAGCTTCCTCCGATTCCAATGGTGAGGACAAACATGGCAGTTTTACGACTCCGTGTTGCTCGCGAAGCTACTGAAACCAGTGAGGGCACACATCCGTAAATTTGGGCGTGCGATGCCTCGTATACCCTGAAGACTTGCTGACTCTTTACGAATCCAGGCTACGTTTGCAGACAATTTGTCATTCACTTTCGGGACTCCATGGTTTCTTTGTAGTACACAGGCAAAGATCGCTTCTCCATCTTAATCGGGCCAGTTCCTCGGTTTCGACATCGGCTTGGAGAACTACGTTCTGCGTCGATCCACGGCAAAGAGCGCCTCTATAAGGATAGCTGTCGGACACGCTCTAAGTTTGGATGCGATTCCTCTCAAGATACTCGCCGGATTGTGGGATTCCTCTCCTCCTCTCCTACTCCATACAAGCGATATTCCCTGGCCCACTAAACTACAGGGCCAATTAACGACGAGATACGTACGCACCGGTCACTCATACGACCACTGGATACCACTGTCAGCAGAAGGGAGGACGGAATTTCGAAGGTGATTACTTCACATACAAACTTGGATTGGCAAAACGATCTTTGACTCTTCCTTCGGATACGAGGCGATGGATGAACCCCTACAAACGTGACCCAGCCGTTCTCAACAATAGCAAGGGTGCTTCGATACACACGCACCCACAAGATATCGCTCCTGCTCATGACACCCCTCGGACAGGGCCAACCGTGGTTTCCCGGATCGCCTGGAGATGTCTCGCGAAGACCCTCTACTACTCCCTACCTTCCCTCTACTTCCGACGGGACCTCGAGGGGAAGCCCACTCCCTTGTCATTGAAGGACAACTTGCACTAGTTGCCTGGACGATTTCAGGGGCTCCTGGTCGGTTCACGACCTATTGCATCAACTAAGACCTCCTATGGGACTCATAGGCTCCAGGCACCAGGAAAGGCTATATTTCTGCCTGGTCGGCCTGGAGTGATAGGTGTGTGGAAAGGGATTCTGATCCCTTTACCGCACCTGTCCTACTGATACTCAACTATCTGTCACACCTGGTCTCGTTGGGTCGGTCATATCGACCCCTCAACGTGATCAGATCCGCCATATTGGCGGCACACGTTCCGGTACAGGGCAGACCAGTAGGTCAAGATACCCTGGTTTGTTGACTACTACGGGGTGCCAAATTGTCGAGACCCCGGCACCCAAGTATTCACGCCTCTGGCAGGTGGATGTGGTACTGAGATTCCTTAGTGTATGGCCGGACAATCCTTGTTTGTCACTGAAAAAACTTTCAGCCAAACTAGCCCTCTTATTATGCCTCGCCTCATTTAGACTGGTGGCGGACGTTAGGGCTTACGATATGGATGGTTTTCTCTCTCACCCAGACAGGTTACCTTTACCATTTCGAGTCCAATCCGTCTTCAGTGTCATACCGATACTTTGTGTCAGACGCCACACTATGCGTGGTCAGAACGCTAATGGGGTACACCGATATCTCTACCCCTTCTAACTCATTCGACGGGTCACCTTCTGACTTCTCACGTGAACCCTCATAGACCGGTGTCTACTGCAACACTGGCCAGATGGGTCCGCTGGCTATTGTCTTTAGCGGGCGTCGAACCTTGTTTCGGAGCCCACTCGGTCAGGGAGCGGCGGCCTCACAAACCTTTTCGGCCGACGCTTCCCTAGCCGACATTATACGCTGCGCGGACTGAGCGCGAGAAAGTACGTTTAGAACGTTCTATTTCGACAAACATTTCATGCTTCCTTCACATTGGTCAATTCAAAGCTTTAAAAATGCAAATATTAAGCCTCCTGTCATGTGGTAAAATTGAAGATCATATTAGCTTTAGTGTACTAATAATCTTAATTTTAGTAATGACAGGAGGCGAATATTTCCCACCCTATAGGATCCCTCCCATGTTTCTCGTGTTGAACAGAATATGTCCTTTATGTTCAGGAAGGTAAGTACGTATGGTTTGTATGTTTGCTGCTTAGACCTGTATCTTGTGGATCTTGGATAGGTTGAATCTTAGACATGAACCTTGCATTATGTTGTGTTTATAGATTCTTAAATATCATTGCTTTAGAATAAATATACATTGATATGTTTCACATTCTAATGTTTGTTGGTATATCAGATGCTTAATGCTTATTGTATGCGGAAAAGTTATCACGCCAGAGACCTTTCACCTTTTTCTTTTTCTTGCAGCGTGAACGTCTTCTCATCGAGACAAAGATTCACCTTCCATACCTCTGCATCGCGGAACTACTGGAGTTGGATATTCTAATATGTTGTTGAACTGTTGACGTAATATGATTATGTCTCTTGTTGTTATTTATTGTTTTCGCTTCAAAGAAAGAGGAAGTGATGTCATAGACAGGGCCTCTTATGGGCATCATATCTTTTCTCTGATTGGTTGTTACTGTTTCTATGCTGCTGGAGTTTTCAGTAAAGAAAGATATGCAAATATTCGCCTCCTGTCATTACTAAAATTAAGATTATTAGCACACTAAAGCTAATATAATCTTCAATTTCATCCTAACACAAATGGACGAACTGTTCTCATTCTGTTAGGGTGAAATTCTGTAGTTTTGCAGGCATTCGGGAATTCTGAAAGGAGGCATCGCGAGAACATGGAGGAAATGTGAGAATTGTGGGAAATTGCTCTGACCACAGGAAATGGAGCACACTTCGCTACTCCGCTGGGTAAAAGCTGGTCAAGAGTAGGAAAAATACACAAGACAAAGCAGTCCCTACTTTGTCTTATGTTTTAATGAAAACTAGAGCAGACAGGAAGAAATCAAGAACAGATCCTGGGAGAGAAGAGGAAGTGATTGGGGAAAGGTAAGCATGGCATGACATTGCTGCTTTGTTTGTTTTTGTCCATCATTGAGCTTGTAGAAGTAGAGATTGCTAGCCATACTACCCTATAGCTCCACTCCCAGCCTGTCATACTGGTAAAGTTGGGCAATATCCACTACCACCACTATACCAAGACACTGTGGGGTTCTACTAGGAGCACCACTGACCTACAGCCTTAGCCTTTAATAGTAGCATACATGAACAATAAAGTTCAGGGACTAGTTTCCTGCAGCAAGTAAATCACAAGGGAGCAAAGGAATCAGTTGCTTACAGGAATGCCCTGTAATCATTGAAAAGGGAACACCCCCTACAGCAATCATCTCCGCAATCAGGTTTGTGATTTTGTTAGCCTCCTATTTTGATATGCCCCTAGAATGAAACTTTAAAAAAATGTTCAAGAATGGGCTGGCGAACACAACCCTGGGATTATAAGGAGTATGACTGTCCCTGTCGACTAGTGGAACTATCCTTAACATCCCTTCTGCTTTGCCTAATGGGAGTAGTAAAGGAGATGCAGCTGGTGATAGGTGGTTGTATTGAAATCAAGTACAATACCAGTGGACTAGCTATTGACCTAGTACTTCCTTTTTTCTTTTTCTTCCCTCAGTAATACAAACATGTGGTATCTTATCAGATGTAGGTTCAACATACCGGCGCTTGTGAGATGACCCACACTCTGTGGTACTCACTTCCTTGCCGCAAAGTTTGCACAGTTTGTTCCCTCTTAGGAACTACTCAAAGTGATCCCAAACTTTGCTTTATTGTAATACATTAGTCTCAACTCTTCTACTTGTGGCTGATGAAGGTGCAAGTGGATTTGCATCAGTAGTAAAAAAATAGCCTTTTCACCAACACTTGGTTGGCTACTGATAATGGAAATGGTGTTGGGAGCGGTGGTGAGTGTGATAGTGGTGTTGATTGTAACAACAGTAGCAGTGGGTGAGCTACTTGTGGCTCTCTTGCACAGATGATGTTACAACTGTCTCCACTGGAGGCGAATCAAAATCAGATTAGATATGGCCAAGCTGAAGAAGATGCATGAAAATAGTGCACACTAGTTGGAGAAAATAGTTGACCTACTACCTGACCTCTCCACATCTCCTCTTGTAATTCCTCTGGTTCATAGTTAGAGTTCCTCCTGGATCAGAGTTAAAATACTGTCTGCAGTGGTGGTGGAATCACTAGAACAAAAGCAAAAAAAAAAAAAAAATTACCTGCACACTATATTAAATCAGTGTGCTCATAATAGGAGATTTTATTACCACTCCAATGGCTATTAAAGTGCAAGTTCACCTGCTTTGTCAAGGCCAACCTCTTAGGTGAGTCCTTGCTGCTTCACATAAATGTTTGTGTTTAAAGTGAATTGCTGCTTGGTGGATTTACTATTACTGTAACTTTATTGTGTTTGACTTTAAAGGTACACGTCAGACCCCCTTAAGCAATGTATAAAGAGTGTATCCTCTTTTTTTTCATTTTACAAAAAGTGCAGATTTAAATAGAAATTGGTACTTTTATAAATTAAAGTGACACTATAGTCACCAGAACAACTACAGTTTAATGTAGTCACCAGAACAACTACAGTTTAATCATTACCTGCAGGCAGTATTTACATCCTCAGAGGGCCACTGGAGGTGCTTCTTGGGGCAGTGCTGTTCTGCCTGGAGATGCTGAACTTTCCTCATAAAGATGCATTGATTCAGTGCATCTGTATGAGGAGGTACTGATTGGCCTAACTGACATTTAGCCCCACCCCCTTCCACCTCCTTGCTGATTTCAGCCAATCCAATTTCTGATATCAGCAGAGGTTGAATGGGGGGCAGGAAAAGCACCCGCAGACCTGTGCAGCACTCGAAATAAGGTACATTTTCTTACCTTTTAAAAGGCCTGGTGGTGTGTCAGGGGGTATCAAACAGAAAACTGATCATGTTACTTCCTACTTGATTAGCTCAATAGAGCTAAACCAAACCTACCTTGCAAATACTTCTTCTTGATCTGCATTTTGAAGTCTGTGATTGAACAGCCACAGAAAATCTGGACTGGAGGGCTTCTAAAGGCT